TCGATAAGAAGGGATTTTTCGAAACTCCAGTTCCAAGAGGGTGAAACCACCCGTCAAATATTACAATATTTTTTATTTAAAAAACAGCTAAGTTTCCGAAAAAACGCTTAAACACGTATATTTTATTTTGTTTTTTTACATATTTTAAGATTTTTTAAAAATGTATACAGGGTGTTTTAAAAAATCTGGTCATTGATTAATGACGATCCGGCTTAAAGCGCTTGACGTAAAAAGCTGATTTTTGGAAAACAGATTGAGTTTAGGGTGTAGAGGTTCGATAAGAAGGGATTTTTCGAAACTCTAATTCTAAGGGGGTGAAACTATCCCTCAAATATTAAAATATTTTTTATTTAAAAACCGGTGAGTTTTTCGGAAAAACTCTTAAACACGTATATTTTATTTTGTTGTTTTACATATTTTAAGATTTTTTATAAATTTTTACAGGGTGTTTCATAAAATATGACCATTGAGTAATCAAGATTCTGCTTAAACTGCTTGACGTTTAAAGCTGATTTTTGGCAAACGGATTGACTGTGGGGTGTAGAGGTTCGATAAGGAGGGGTTTCTCGAATCTCAAATTCCAAGAGGGTGAAAGCGCCCTTCAAATATTACAATATTTGTTATTTAAAAAACGGTTAGTCTTTCGGGAAAACACTTGGACAAGCATAATTTATTTGGTTTTTTACATATATTGAAATTTTTTAAAAAAATCATACAGGGTGTTCCAAAAAGTTAAAAAATCATACAGGGTGACATAAAAAACTTATTTTTGGCAAACGGATTTTTCGAAAGTCAAATTCCAACGAGATGAAACTACCCCTCAAATATTACCAAGTTATATAACAATATCGCCATATTGTTTTTTCTCATGCTGACATGAATGTGAGAAAATTTTATCCAGTTTGTATGTTAATGGAAATTCTTGCTTTGCTTTATCATCACCATTACAAACGATAATTCGACGCGAACGATGGTACACGCTAGTGTTAATATATTTTGTTTTAATGGGCCGATTTTGATGATTTTTTAAACAGTGTGTAGCCAAATTATTTGACTTTTTAGTATTTTTTTTCTAAATTAAAATGAAACTTGTCATCTGTTAATTATACGAGGGAAAACAAAATGTTGATATTTTGGTGAAAGTTTGAAACACCCTGTGGAATATGTTAAAACAGCAATAAATTTAAAAGTCATATCATCCAGATACATCCTTTCTCGATGGTTTGTTTTTTGATTCATCTCGTTAGCTTTATTTTAGTTGGAAATATTCGCTTTTGAAGAAGACACTGACATTTTTTCGTAATTTTTACATTAAGACCATGCCTTTGCTTTTGGGCCTAGTCAACACATCTAGTAAGTTCTGGTCCCGAAGCAGGCCTTCTTGACATAAGATTTGCTTCATTTAATCTTCTTCTTATAGTCCGGTAGTTAATATGCACGTTACTTAAGTGCAATTCATTATCAATTTGAAAAGCTGGCAAACGGCGGTTTCTTAGCGATAAACTTACAAGTCGATCGTCTCGACTAGAAGTTCTCATACGAAGATTCCTGGACGTCTAGATTGACGTCCTCATGGACGTGGTCATAATTCAAAAACCACTTCGTATATTCTATGGTATTAAAGTATTTTTGAAACCGGAATTTTTATAGCAAATTCACTAAACTAAACCAATATAGATATATATTTGACTCACCCTGTATATCTATAAAAAATATTTTTAAAATGCCATTACACACATATATTACACATTAAACACATATTTTGTAAAAGGTTTGGAGTGAAAATCTCAAATAGGAATCCTGATACAGAGCTTTTCCGGAATACGGAGTCATCTTGTATGTATGCATTTCTATATGTGTGTTTATTTAAATACTAAAGTGAAAGCAACGAATTTAAATAGGTAAACTTTGTAATATATATTATTAATAATACAATGCAAAACGTTTTATAAAAATTCGTTGACAGTAAATGAATTCCGAGGTTTGTATCCTATAAAAGCTTACAGCACTCCACTAATTATCGTAAATACCTTGTATACATCATTCTCTATAACATATACCATAAAATCGAAAAAAAAACGACGCCAAAGACGCGGGCTGGAAAATTGACAATTAAATGGTGTAGTTTAAAATTTGAGAAAAATTTTTTTTTAATCTTTCTAAAATTAATAGTGTTAATTTTTGATAAGCTTTATGCAAATTTTCGGAAAATGACGTCTAAAGATTGACCTCGACAAAATTATCATGGATTATCATTTCCCAGCCGACTTTGATGCCGTGTTGTTTTAATCACAGGGTATAATTTATATAGGTTCTATTCTATTATTATTGCCAAAAATTTTAGCATATTGATTATTAACCAGGTTGTAGATTTGTTTCTAAGAATACGGATTGTTTTTGCTTCGAAAAGTAAACAGCCTTGCAAAATTAGCAAACATAAATATGACATAACTTATATAAATTAATTTATTTAATTTTATTTCACTATTTAGGAAACTAAAGAAAGCAGATATTGAAATTATTTCAAAAAGTATCTTAAAAATGCGCCTTATTTGGGTATATATGGTAATATCCAAAAATAAGAAAGTCCATAAAGCGTTAAATTGTTCTTGACCTTTTGGAAGCTAACTTTTTAGTTTTTGATCTTCTCGATGACTCTAGAAGATTACCTCTCAAGATGTATAATGTTATTTTATTTTGGCAAATCTGATTATTTTGAGGTCTATAAAAAATTCTCAAACTTTCTACAAAACTGTAACTTATTTTTTATTAAGTGATCATATATTTACTGATAAAAAAAAATCTTCCTAGCATCAACCAGTCAGCAATATATTTTGTATTAGTGTCTATAGTGTTAGATTTAGATTATTAAAGTAGATGATGGATGTGCCCGGTGGCGTAGAGGTACAGGCTCTCGTCTACCAATCTCAAGATAGTGGGTTCGAATCCCACGCCCGGCATTTCATCAGCAGACTATTTTTATTAAAATAAAAATAGTTTGGGTACCTAGGTCGACTCAGCCTTAAATGAGTATACTTGTGATTCACAATCCTATAGGCGGTTGAAACGTAGTGCTAACCACATTACCTTCCTTGTATACCGAACGGCTCTAGTATAGCAAGCTGTACCTTGCTACTCCCAAGGCGTCAAACGCTATATACGGGAGCTATTATTATTAAAGTAGATGATGAGTAAGTAAAGTAAATGAACTATTTTAAGTTAACGTCTCCTTTTTGCTGATAAGGTTAATCTGGACGGAAATAACTTTGTTTACACGGTATGTAAGCCGCGGTCCTCAGCCATATCATGGTCAATGGCCTACCGACTTGGCGAGTAATCTAAATCCACTCTTACTCACGAGCAGGCGTGAATGAGTAGTGTGTGTACTATAGATAGATAGTGTGTGTACAATGGATATTACATTCTTGCCATGGAACAATAGCACGACGGATTTTTCGGATGGTCACCCGTCCATCTACTCGTATCGTCTAACGTCGCTTAACTTTGGTGATCTATTGGGAACCGGTGTTCAGTTGTAGCTGGGCTGTTGCAGTAAAGTAGACGATGACATTTTCCTTTAGTCAAATTGAAATTCGAGTAATCTTATAAGAGCAAAATACGTACAAGGTTTTCAGCGATATTTAGTATAGTTTTTTTGTAATTTATAGTTATATTTAGTACAATACCCATAGGTTTACCAACTGGAGGTAGTAAAACATTTTAAATGCAGGATTTAGGTATGGTTTAACCTGAACGAATAATAAGAAACAGAGGAGGATCATAAGAAAAAAATTATAACTTCACTTTAATAACTACCTTATACAACCATTTCCAATTATAGTGTCGCCTCCCTCACATATTTTATATACTCTATTTGTATTTGGGCCCATTGTTGTCTATTGTTGGCTATGCGGGCCCAAGTTATCCCCTTGCTCATTTCCTAATATCATGATCCCATCCCATCTCAGGTTTGGTGTCTTCTAGGTCGTGGGTATCATGCTGTAATTATTGTGGTTCATCTGTTGTCCGTCCTTCTTGCCAGGTGTCCTGTCCATTGCCACTTGAAGGATTTGATTATGCGGCTAACATATATTACCTTGGTCTTTTGTTATATCCACTCTATTCTTTCACGTTCTTTTTTAGTTACGCCTAGCATTCGTTCCATTGAGAATTGTGCGACCTGCAGTTTCCTTATAATGTCCCTTTTAAGTATCCAGGTTTCGCATACATGATAGGTCATGACTGGTAGTAAACATTGGTCGAATGCTTGTTTCTTTAGTGACATTTTAGATTTGAATATGATTGAGTTTCTTCCTTAAGTACTCCATGCTAAAAGATAGATAAAGTGTATTATTTATATGGTCTCCAAGCCATACTATGGTGGTAACAGTTGCATTGATTGAACCAAAATATTTCAAAAACAGTCCACGCAAATATTTTTTACGTGATTTCTGATCGACTTTGGTATATTTTTCTTTCACTTTGTGGCGGTTCACCTAAAACCTCACAAATCCTACCTATAATTTTTTACTACCTCCAAGCTTTTCTACAGGTTGCTTTAAGCATGCAGAAAATATAATAGGTAAATATCTATGAAAAACCTACACATTATTGCAATAAAAGGTTCTTTAATAGAGAAAAAAATTTAACATTTCTTTTGTATTCACCAATTTATTAAAAATGAATACAATAGAGAGTTTGGCAACACACAAAAAGTTTCCCGAAAGGTAAACGACCTGTTAACCTTAACAGACGAAAAAAACACCGTTACAACCTACAAAATTCGGCCCCCAAAACAGCCTCACTCTTGGTGAAATTGTGTCCCAATCGTCGTTACGTAAAGTTCAGCGTTATTTTGAAAATAGAAAGGAACACCGAACCTCCCACGGCACAGCAGGAAGATGGGACCCCACCAGCCCTCGGACCGCTCGTTTCACTCTCTCTACTATCTTTTCTGCTGCTAGGCCGTCGGTTATGCGTCCAGTCGCTCGCACAGTCTGTGGCCTACTTTACACCTGAGGAGTAATAACGAGTCGCGACTGCCGACGCTTAGACTGTTCCCTCTATGCCCTGCTGTACATACGCCCGTTCGGATCGCAGCTAGCTGTGCTCGTAGTACACATTTTACCGTTAAGGCTGGAGTTGGCGCGCGCGATCTGTTTTACCGACGACGACGACGTTTTTGACGTATCAACGAAGGAACAAACGCCGATCGGTGTCTAGTCGCTGGAGTGATATTTAGCGCGCGATCTAGGGATTTTCGGTTTGGCAGGTTGAAGTTGAAGGAGAAAAAAATAGAAAGAAAAAAACATGTAGAGGATTCGAGATTGTTTGGCGCTTTCTTCTGATTTACCGGAAGTAGATATAATAAATGGACAAAAATGTCATCGTTGGGTAAGTGCATTCGATGTTTACGTTCAAAATGCGTCGTATCTTCAGTTTCAATGTTTCTTTTTTGTGAAAAATGTACTTTTATAATAGTAAAGTTAACGTTATTGAGTTGTATACGTCTCTATTATTATTAGTTTCTTCTAAACCTCTAACTACGCATTAAAGAAATGATTCAGAACTTTTATGTTTCTCCAGCTACACAGTATTTTCATAATATTCAACATAATTGAAAGAAATGTAATTCCTTGATAAAAGTAAATGCATCTCTGCAAATCGCTAACTAGTAAAAACTAGTAAAAATTTAATTATTGTTTGGTTTACACAGCGACCTTAAAAAAGTGTCAAATTATTTAAAGAGTAACGTCATCTTAACTTTCCAAAATCCCTTACTTATTACTATTAGTTACTCAAAACAGATATTTAGTATGTGAAAAATTTACCCTACAATTTTCTTTTCTTTCTTTTTTCTAAAAAAAATATTTTCCGAACATCACCAATGAAATAATATAGTTAAATATAATAATATTAGCCTTATACAGGGTGGGTCTTAAATAAGTGCAAATATTTTCAGGGCTGGTAGATCTCGATAAAGGAAACATATTTTCTATTTACCCTTTTTCAAATAAATCCAAAATAACCGACTTATTTTACTTAATTTCCAAAAAAATAATTTTATGCATAAATTTTGAGACTCACTGGATCTTTTCTCTTTTTTTTTCTTGTAAATTTAATCTACTACCTATGTTGCCATATTATCAAGAAATTTTGGTTTTTAACTAAAAACTAATAAAGAAGAATTTTTGGCAAAAAAAAAATCTTATAATCTTGTTTTTGGGGTGGAACTATACTACGACTAAAAATATTTGCACCTATTTAAGACTCACCCTGTATAAAAGACCACTAAGACAAATTTTACCGTGAAATTTTATTTGCAACATTTCAACACAAATTTTCCTAAAAAAACACTTTCAAAGAATATTTTATTATTACAAAAATTTTTTTTGTGTGATATTTAAAAAAAAATTGTCGAAATATCCAAACTTATTTCCAGACATAAACATAGAGTATCGTTACGATCTAAACATAATTGAATATGACCAAAAGTTTTATGATCAAGCATGCTTTGTTCCTACGACTCCTATTTACCTAATACTGTCAAACTAAAAGCCCACTTGAATAAAATGTTTTGATCACACGTTAATTCTATCTTTTAGTAGCAATTTTTAGCAATAATCTTCATTTTAGCAGCAAGATTTAAGAAATAACAAGATTTAATATAGCAAACAGATTTCCGAAAGTTTCTAAATTATTCTAACATACACATCTCTTTACTAAAAAGAAATCATTTTTTGATGAAATTATGACTGCATTGAGAACAGCTGATAATGTGCCTGATGTTTTTGCCGACCAAATCTACCAATTTCAATGTACGAGTAACCTTGCCAAAAATAAATTAACCTATGTTAACTTGAGTGTACAAAATAAAACATTAATTAGGAAAGTCGCCATTGTACGTATTGGTGTGTAGTACGACAGAATGAATTATAGAAACATAACATCTGTCCTTGTCTTGTCCTGAAATAAACAAAATATAAAACGTAACTATTACTGTAATCATTCGCGTATTATATTTATTAAATTAATTATTTGTAAAACCTAATCAGACTTAATGTCATTAAACAACTACTAATGTTAAGAAACAACAATATTAATAAATATAGTTACTTAATAATCAAAATTTACCTTAACTGTTTTTACCTATTTAAGTTTTAATTGAAACTTATTTCTTACTGAATTTAGTTTTCATAATTCGTTGGCATGTGATTGTCAGTTATTCAAAAATTATTCATGCAAGATATGCTGAAATCCGTTAATTTGCAGATAATATTGCTTTAAGTTATTACTTTGATATGAAAGGACCTAAATAATTATAAATACATTAACATTTTATTTATTGCAAAATAAAAACACTAAATCACCACAATACACCAAAACACTTTTACTTTTACACTGGACGCGCGTTTCGCTAACCATGTTAGCATCATCAGCAGATGATTATAAACTACTATAGAGTTATATATACCACAGCAAAATAAAAACACTAACTCACCACAATACACCAAAACACTTTTACTTTTACACTGGACGCGCGTTTCGCTAACCATGTTAGCATCATCAGCAGATGATTATAAACTACTATAGAGTTTATAATCATCTGCTGATGATGCTAACATGGTTAGCGAAACGCGCGTCCAGTGTAAAAGTAAAAGTGTTTTGGTGTATTGTGGTGATTTAGTGTTTTTATTTTGCTGTGTAACACCAAAGGTTCCAACCCTCAACTGTAATTTTATTTATTATTGAGATATTACAAAAGTACAATAAGACGTTTTAGAAAGAGAACTATCATCTTTCTCCATTCTGCATGAATAAATGCACAAAATCCGCAGGTACTAACCTTTATAAAAAGGATATAAATGGTTAATACCTCCTGTAATATTACCTTCTGGTAGTGTAATTCATCTAGAACGAACAAAGATGATAGATAAGCATCTTCCTTGTAAGTTTTATTATAATTCTATTTTTTTATTTCTCCTATCTCCTATTATTGTTATTTTGTATCTTTTTCATCTAAAACTATGTGGTATTATTTACCAATTTGAAATAATAAAAATTTGAAATCGTACTTCAATTTATTTTCTGATATATTTTTTGATCAATTTATATAAGTTTTTAGTTATTTTTATCTGCACAACGAAAGCAAGTTATTTCTAGAAACGTTTAAAGTTACAAAAGAGGCCAACCTTCATAAATCTGATATTTACCAACAACAAAAATCGTTCCTCAAACGTTCGAGAGCGTTTTTAACATATAATCATAGTAGACAAAAATTAAAAAAAATGTTTGATTTCGTTTTTTAACATGGACGGTATCTTTTTATGTCTAAAAGAATAATTCTAGTCATTTTTATTTTCAAAATATTGGTGTTGAAATTTATATTTTAACATATACAATACAAATATGAGATCGAACATAGAATGTATACAGAGTGAAACAGTATTTCTAAATAGCTCAATTTTAGATGTTTATTTCACTATATTTTTGTAAAATATGCGGATAACAGCACATATTTTAGAAATATTTTCATCCATATACAGGGTGAATTTTTAGCGGTATTATATTATCACTCCAAAAATACGTCTTGGACGGTTATATCGCGAAAAAATATTTTTGAAAATTTGGTTAGGTTTTGAGAATTTGGTTATTTTAGAAAAAAAATGTTTAGAAATATTTTAGTTTTAGAAAACTTAATATCTTGATAATATGGCAACATAGGTAGTAGATTAAATTTACAAGAAAGAAAACCCAGATAAACAAGTGATTCTCTAAATTTAAGTAAAAAACAATTTTTCTTTTTGGTATGGACTATCAAAAAATTAGGTGGCTTATATTCGGTTTACCTGTATTATTCTGTATGGTGCAATTTTATGAAAATATGTTTTTTTTTTATCGAGATCTACCAGCACTGAAAATATTTGCACTTTTTTAAGACTCACCCTGTATAGGGCGATTTAAAATATTTTTACACCACAGTAGTTTTTAAATTGCTGTATATTTTTTGTTTAAAAATTATTAAAGCATTTTAATTGGAGGTATTTTGTGATAGTGGCTTTATCAATACTAATCATTAATTGTTGTATGTACATATATTAAATGTTATAATACATTATTATTATTTGTATAATCATTAAATGTTATATGCTATATACAGGGTGGCTTAAGAAATATATGTACATATTGTTTTTCGCACATTTCAAATGAAACACTCTGTATCGATAAATCGTAAATATCGTAACTATAAATGGTGACATTTCAAAATCTACTTGGTATAGGCTAGGTATGAACATTTAATTATTATTATTTATTTTTTGACATTATGGTATTCTTGGAATGGAAATTCTGAAAAAAACACTGGGAGGAAAAATATACAGCAATCTGTTTAAAAACTATATCTTTAATATAAACAATCAAATCACCCTGTATATCTTTGAGAGTATTTTTTTTTTAAATGTGCGCTACCGTCTCGACCGAGTATTTTGTAATATTAGTTGGAGGTTTTGTTATTCCTTCGCAAATAACAAATATTATTTTTATACAAAATTTTCTCAAAATTATAAATAAACGTATTACAAAATTAGATTCAATTACTCACCACAATAACTACAACCGCACATTTATCACAAATTTCCGAAGATAAATATGTACGAAATATTTTTAAAATTGCATGTCATTTATCTATAAAAGTCTTAAGTGCATATGCTTAGATCCGAGTTGCAACGATATAAAACAACATGCGTAATAAAGCCAATAAATAATTTATTCTAACTATAAACAACAAAAAATCGCTAGAATGTTAGCTGCGTGGTTTTAATTTTATTTCAGTTCTCAAAGGTTAACTTGCATAATTCTTTGTGTACAATCTATACGTCTGGCGATTCTTTTGCGTGTTTTGTTTGTGTCATACATGCTTAAATTCGTTTTGTTTTTTCATCACTATGTAGTTTTTGTATTATTCTGTCGATGTTTAACCCAAAACGTCGTTAAATGAAAAACAAATACAATTTCAACATGAATTTAAAGAAAAATTCTAAAACATTTTGGTGTTTGGATTCAGAACGCTGTCCCTCCCAAATCCATATCTTTGACCGATCCAATGATTTGAAACCAAACCAAATCATATTATTATTGTCTGTTGGGCAGTTACTATAGCTAGATGCTAGATATGGTTTTAAGTCCAAAGGTTGATCTCTGCTATGATCAATTAAAGTAGCAATAGCCGATAATTCAGAACTTAAAACCATCTCTACTAGAGTAAACGTCAATAAACAATAATAATATGACTTTTCAATGACAGTAACGTTACAAAAATAATAAACACTATTTTATTAGTGTGTTTATGAGGACTCAAAATCAATGAAAATAATATAAAATTGAGGAAAATTGTT